TTCCTGTCAGCTCAGACGAGAAATGAAGCTGGGGAAAATTAACTCCTGATACAGCTACGCTGAATTAGACAGAGAAGGGGAGGAGGGGGGGGGGGCGGGAAAAAAAAAAAACCCAACACACTTTTTAAGGATTCCAGCCTTGTCATTTTCAATTTTCTGCTCTTTGGACATGCTTGTATTCAGATTCCCCAACATCTATTCGCCATATCAATCCTAATTAGACAATCTGTGCCCACGAAGGATGGGAGCCGAGTTATTTGCATAATTTAATCATAAATACTCAGTGATACATATTTCCAAATGCATTTGTACAATTATCTTTTCATCCTTGGGGCAAAAGTATTAATATGATTAGGCAATAATTTTTTAAAAAGGACAGAAAATAGGATACCAGCAAGTACGCACTCTTTTTTAAACTCCAGCTCTGGGCTATATGAAAAATTAATTAATTTCTGAGGAAAATCAATTTCTCTATGTGACCATATTAGACAGAGCCCAGCAAGGGCCTGCATTCCTTCTCCAATCAGGAAATCTCATCTGCTCCTTCTAACTTCTGTCAGTAGCGTTTAACATCCTGGTACAAGCGTCGGTGACTTCCGCCATGCTCTGTACATGTGCTGTAAGACGACGGGGTGGAGGGGAAGGGCTCCATCTGAGGAAAGAGAACGGGCCTAACATCTGTCAGGTAGCCACTCTCAAGCGTAAAACCAGCAGGTAACGATCACTCAACAAGTCTGTGTAACATGACTCACGTTGGAAAGACTGTCAACAGTTTAAAATCTGACAGAATAAGTGACCTTTGTAAAATAAAAATGCATAATTTAATATGTGGTGATCAGCGAGGAAGAAGCTTGGCTTTAATGTGAGGTTTTTAAAGCATTTCATTTAGCAAAGGAATTAATTGGCAAATCAATCACTTCTGCAGATCCAGTAAAGCCATGCAAATAGGAGCGTGGACAACTAATGCATCCAAGAGGCAAATTAACAATACGGGCCTCTCTGCCATGCAAATAGCCTCCAAATCTACAAATGACATTAGACGGTGTCAAACAAAGCCGCTCTAACAAGTGAAATCTGTGCTTTTAATCAGTCCTGGCTCGGCTGCTTCATTTAAGAAAAAATAAATAAAAAAATTGCAGGAAACATGATACTAAAAGAAATGCTTGTTAATTGAGCTAATTTATGGACTTCCTCTCCTGAATCCCCCACAAAAAAGTGTTTAAATTTCTTATTTTTTATCCAGCTCAGTGAATGTCAAGTCAGTAAAACAGCTCTGATTTTCAAGGAGACTGTTCACAAAGAAAAAAAACACCTTGCCACCATCTGCCAACTGCACAGTTGACTTGAGCACATGTACTGTACCTAATGAAATTTAGCAGGTCCTCACTGAAGGATTAAAATAAGGAGAAAAAAATGCTTCTTTTTTTTTTTCTTACTTCAGTAAAGAAACAACAAACAATATAAGAGCCAATTTGGCTTTTGAGAAAGTGCTTCAATAGATTTGGATTTTAAACAGCTTTGTGTACCATTATCTCTCGCTCCTTTTCTGCCTATCTTCATCTCTCCTCCCCTCTCTCCTTCTCTAATCAGGCATCTGTCACTCTGTTTTTGAAGTTATTATCGCCCGAGCTCCCTCTTGGATGCGGTTGCCGGGTGACGGGTATCTTAGCACCCACTCTGACTGGGAATGATTTGAATGGAATCCAGAAATCTCCCCTGAGTACCTGTAAACACATCCGTGCCTTGTAGAAAACAAATATATTATAAGAGAGCTCGGCAGCGGAGGAGGAGGAGGAGAGAGAGACAAGCTGGCACCCTCGGTGGCAGCTCACACTGAGCGCTAAACAAAACAATTACCGTCATTTGCAAATATGTGTGTTTAGGCATAAACACTCCTGAAGTAGGAACAAGAGAGGTGAGAGCTCGCGTAACGCTCCCTGTCACTTCAGCATCAATTATATACATTTGTTAAAGAGAAAGAGTTTCTGCAACGACCTGTCACCTGTTCCAGGAGCGGGATCCCGTTTGACTGAAACGAGCTGAAATCTATTTAAGGAGGGCATGTAAGTGAAAAGCCGAGCCGTTCCCAGAGGTGGGACGTTGTCTGGGGCGTGTGGTTAACCTTCAGGGGTAGACAATGATTGTCAATTAACTGCTGTATTTCTGCACCCCAGCATCAGATAGCACGGCTCGCACAAAGCAGGCCAATGAGTGATATGTGATATCTCCACGCCGCAACACCCCCCCCCCCCTCCTCCTCCCCCATCACCTCCACCGTGTTATAATAACCTTTCAGAGAGTTCAAGTGTCACGCAGCAATAAGAACCTTTTTCATCCCACCGCAGGGAAAATGAAAAGGAAAACAAGTAGCTGGAACACAGGGCTCCTGGAGGGCTCCTGGAGGGCCACAGTCATAATGTAAGGTGTGTGTTGGGTGTGTGTGTGTGTGGGGGGGGGGGGTCCTGAAACTGGATCAGTTGAGAGCAAGAACCAACACTGGTAATATGGCATTAGAGTAATTGAGAAAGTAAAATGGTTGATTATTACATTCTTTATGATTAGCAAGCAGTTCAAACTGTTTATTAACAACAAATTCCACAAGGAAAATGTAATTTAAAAGAAACAAACACAAACAACAAACAACCCGTATAGCATCCAGACTGTACAGTTTGAATGTTTGTGCTCAAATAAGCAGAACGGCAGAAACAGTTTTGTTGTTCGTGTCCACATCAGAAGCCAAACAGCAGGTTGCAGCGGCGCAGCTCTGTGATGCTATTCACATTCACACTGGGTGCAAAATGGAGACCGGTGTTGTTTTAACACAATAGACAGCATGCAGGGCAGGGGAGGGGGGGTGCATGTGAAATAGTAAGAGCCATTGTATGGGGAGTATTATGCACTTCATTGTTATCACTGTGCCACTGTATATAAAAAAGAACGGTGACATAGTGGTAATGGATGAAAAGCTCCACTATCCGAGGCAGCAGGCTGGTGTTGTGGAACCCGAGCCGGGTAAACCAGTGAACTCTGATATGTTTTATCTGTAACTTAGGAAAAATCCAACTTTGGAGACTTGTTTTAAGCTCCAGGACAACCTGCGTCCTGTTTCCTCAAAACGCTCATTTAGTCAGCAGCAGCTCCAGCGACAGACCAGAGCAAAGCGCACATCCCTGCAAATAAAATCAACTGTTTTTAAGCAGCAGAAGCCTTTTATCCAGCGGATGCTTCCTTGCTGTTCAATGATGTAATTCTCCAAATGGGGCAGGCAGGCGAGGCGAGGCAGGCCGGGGTCTGAGTGATTGATTTCAGCCCAGCACCGGGAGAACCTGGCTGCTTTCAGAGACAATTACAGTCCTGTCCGTGTGCCCGTAATAGCCCAGCACTTTAGCGTCATTAAAGCGACGCGAGGTACTGCATTATCCTTTAACCCCATCGCTGGCCATCCCCCCATTGACAACCCAGAGAGTTCAACCACATACTTTGTCACCTGAAGCTCAACGCCACCACACCGTACAGCTCATTCTATGGAAGACAGAAAGACGGAGTGAGAGCTGGAGTGGGGGGGGGGGGTGTTAGCTCCCTGGATGCTTTATGTAAATGATGCTTAAGCACCAAAGTGCACAGGTGAATTGTTGAGACAATTGCTGCTGAAATGGGAATTTGAAGCCGCAGCATCTTTCATCACTCAGCATGCAGATCTGTGAGGCTGCTGGCTGATTCAAATCAAGTCTAAAAATAAACACAAACAATAATTGCTGATAGAACAAAGAACAACGCACTTCGGAATCGAAGGACATTAATCTCGATCGTCCTCAAAAGGATTTTGCTTGAGCCGTTTCATTTATTTTGCAGTTTTTGACACACAAATTGAGGATTAATGTATGATCATACAAACCTTCAGGATAGAAAATAGTTCCTCAAAAGAGCGACTTGTGTACAATGTTGTGTCTTGAACCGTGTGCACGTTTCAAACATGCTTTTGTGACTCACCTATGAGAGCAATCGCTCACTGATGATTTTGTAGAAGAAAAAATACGCTTTTAAACCAAGTGACTCAAAATGACTTTGTTTATGTGTTGTCCACACACACACACACACACACACACACACACACACACACACACACACACACACACACACACACTGATGGGAGCCTTTCTATCATGTTTGCATTTCCAGCTCATTTCGAGGTAAGGGGATCAATATGGAATCAATCATAGCGACAGGTGAGATGGTAAATTTGAGCGAGCAGACCCATCCTGTGAGACGGAGCAGAGCAACAGGGGACAATAAAAACAGCTTTTAATCAGTTTTTGATCTGCACATAAATCAGTCCAGTTCAAAATGCATCGAGTTGAAATAATTTAATTTAACACATTCGTTTTCATGTTTTATCACCTGAGTTTCTGTGTTTGCAGCAGGAACGACTAATTAATTTACCTTCACTTTGAGTGGAATTATTCTAAGGCACTTTCAGAAATGTAATAAATGAGTACTTCAGAAACAAGTTCGCTCATTTCTAACAGCAACTTTAAATAATCCATACCACATACTTATGAAAACGCATCGTTTAAAAAGTTGACAAAATTAAAAATGACGATCAAGCCTAATATTTATTCTGTAAAAATGTTTGCATTATAATTCAAGCGTGTCAAAGTAAAGAGTGATTGCGATCGATTTATTTGTTTGGAATCGGTGACAGCTTTGGAGCGCACGTGTCAAAAACTTTCTCTCAACTTTTTTTTTTTTTTTTCTTTTTTCTCCAGAGGCGCGCGGGTCTCTCTCAGTCCAACACACGCACACACACGCATTCCTTCAACCTGTGCGTGCATCAACTCCTGCACACAGATGCGCGTCAACAAGGATCACATGAAAACACATATTTATCTGTAAAGCAGAACTGTAGCGAAGGAAAAAATGTCTTCCCCCTTGCTTGCTCGTGCGCCTTTACGCACGGCAGCGAGAGCGCGTGCGGACATTTGAACACGCTCCCCACGTACCTCGCGTTGGTGCAGTCGTTGTAGAGCGTCTCGAAGTCCTTCCTGGAGATGAGCTTGCAGCGGTTCACCCCGGGCTGGATGGCGCCGAGCCCCCGGAGGATGCGGACCTGCTCCACGTTGCACACCACGGGCGTGATCTCCAGCCGCTTGAGCTTGGTGTAGACCGTGTGCAGCCCCCCGACCAGGTGCTTCAGGAACAGGTCGAAAGCCTGGGGGAGGCAGATGAGCTCGCAGCCGTCCACGGTGAACGACGCCACCTTGGCGCCGCGCAGCTCCACCATCTTGCACTCGTTGTTCTGCGGGATGTTCTCGACGGGCGACGGGGTCGAGTAGACCGGCTTGCCGGGGGGGAGAGCCGCGCTCGGGGTCGGGATGCCCGGACTGCCGCCGCTGGCGTTAACCAGGAGCTCCGAGCGGAACAGGTTCTGTCCGGGACCCGACGGGGGGGCCAGGGACGGGGACGGGGATGAAGTTGTCGACGGCGGGGACGTGGTGGCGGAGGGAGTGGAGATCGGAGGCGGCGGAACGAGAGGGCTCGGTGGGATGAGAGCAGCCGGTACGGCCATGGTCACTGCGGGAGGAGGGGGGGACAAGTTCAAAGTAGAAGCCCCAGCCTGCTAAATGAAAAGATCCGTCTGAGTTTAGCTCCTCAGTTAAGTTGGGAAGTTTAACAAAAAAAAAAAAAAAAGAGCTGCGGAATTTAAAAAAAAGAAAAAAAAGGCGTGTTGAGTTGAGGGGGTATTTTTTAGGAGGGGAGGGGGGGCGGCGGGACAATGATCAAAGATAGGAGGAGGAATGACAGGAGGAAAATGAGCTGAAAAGTGCAGCTCCGCTCCGTGGATGAGTTGTTGTTGTCACACGGCGCAGAGGGGGCGGAGCCAGGGGACCGAGAACTAAGAACTACTTCTGACCGCCTTCAAGAACACTTTCTTAACAGCACGCGGACTTCTTTAATCTTTAACACTTTTTTTTAAATTAATTTTTTTTTTTATTTTTTTTTTTACACTTTCAGCTCAGCCCAGACGCACTTTGGCATTCGTTTTAAATAAGCATTTAGCATTTCAAAGTTTTCACAAAACTTGTATTTTCATATTTTTCTCATATGTTCTGACTGAAATTTCTTCTAATGCGACTTTTAGTTTTTATTTTTATTTTTATTTTTAGATTTTTTAATGATGTATCAGGGTCATTCAGAAGAAATAAATTAGGTAGGAGGAGTTATTTTTGTTTATGATTCAAATCCAAATGTTGAGATTAAACTCAAAATAATTTTTCCAGACAAAGATCGAAATGTTGAGAAAGAAAAATCTCTAAATATTGGTTTTAGATAAAAGATTGCACTCATAAGAAAAGAAAGGTCAGCATTTTGTCTCAAGACTAAAGTGTTTTATTAGTACTATAGGGCAAAATTCCAAGTTGGAAAATTGAATGGTGGCAAGGTGAGTTGAGCTGTCGCCTAAGTCTTCTAACCCAAGAAAGTTGTTGGATCAAATCCCAGCTGAGTTTGCATGTTCTCTCCATGCATGTGTGAGTTTTCTCCAGGTACTCTGGTTTCTTCCCACTGACCAGAAACATGAATGTTAAGTTAACTGTCCACCCATCAGTTATCTTTAGCAGGTTCTTCCTTTTTGGGGTCATGGGGGTCACTGGTGCCCATATCCAGCAGTCACTGTGCAAGAGATGATGGACACCCTGAACAGGTCTCCAGTCCATCACAGACACATAGAGAAAAACAACCATTCACTCTCACTCACACCTAGGGACCATTTAGAGTTACCAATCAGCTTAAAATGCATGTTTTTGGTCTGTGGGAGGAAACTAGAATACCCATGGAAAACCTACACATGCACAGAGAGAACATACAAACTCTACCCAGAAATGTCCCGGCCCGGGATTTATTCCGGCAACCTTCTCGCTGAGAGGCAGCAGCTCTACCAACTGAGCCACTGTGCTGCTTTAACTGGTAACTTTAAATTGACTGTAAGTTAGGTTTGATATTATTCCCAGATCCATCCATTATCTTTACCTGCCTTTTCCTTTTCAGATCATGGGGTTCATGAGTACCAGCAGACACTGTGCAAGAGGCGGGGAACACCCTGGACAGGTCTCTAGTCCATCACAGGGACACATAGACACAAACGAGACAAACAACCATTCATTCTCTCACTCACACCTAGGGACAATTTAGAGTTACCATTCAGTCTAACATGCATGTTTTGGTCTGTGGGAGAAAACCGGAGTACCCGGAGAAAACCCATGCATACACAGAGAGAGCATGCAAACTTCACCCAGAAAGTCCCCTGGCCGGGATTTGAACCGGGGTGACCTGCTCGCTGAGAGGTAGCAGCTCTATCAGCTGTGCCACCGTGCTGCCAGATCCATCTTACTAAATGGAAGTAAATGGAACTCAGCATAAGCCTGAGGAAGCCAACCCCATTGTGCTTCTTAACCCCATCGTATTTGTTCCATAGCCAAAGTTTATGAGTGCACTTAGTGGGATAAACTACAAAATAAGTATAAACTGTTTATCATTCACATTGCAATAGAACTTCATTTTAATCTTTTAGAATAAGTGTCTCAAATGCAGGGCAACATGGTGGCATAGTTGGTAGAGCTGTTGCCTCGCAGCAAGAAAGTTACCGGATCAAACCTTTCTAGGTCAAGCTTGTACATTCTCTCTGTGCATGCGTGGGTTTTCTCCGGGTTCTCCAGTTTCCTCCCACAGACCAAAAACATGCATGTTAGGATGATTGGTGACTCTAAATTGTCCCTAGGTGTGAGGGAGAGAGTGAATGGTTGTTTGTTTCTATGTGTCCCTGTGTTGGACTGGAGACCTGTCCAGGGTGCCCCCGCTTCTCGCAGTGACTTCAGGAATCCATGACCCCCATGATCCAAAAAGGAAGAGGCAGGTAAAGATAATGGATGGATGGAGTTCTACTTTAAGACATAAAAAACATTTTTCTTTTCTGGTGATGATTCTGCTGTGAGTCTGCAGTAGCTTTGTGGTCAGTGCCATGGACTTCTAATCCTGAGGTTGAGGGTTCGAGCCCAGGTTGCGTCAGGAAGAAACCTGGTGTAAAACAATTGCCAAATCTTTCATGCGAGTACGCTTCATGTGGCAACCCCTGAAGAAGAGAGCAGCCGAAAGAAACAGGTGAGGATTCCGCTGCTGAAGGTGTAATGAAGGTGAAAGCTTTGTGTTGTTTACTCTGTAAAGGCTCACCCATATTACTCTGCTACATTTATTGCAATAAAAACTGGAACAAATATGGGGCTTTGGAGCACAATGGGGTTCACTTCTTTACATATGGACAAACTTAACTTTTTCATCAGCATTTTGTTGTTAGAAATATTTTTGGACATTTTTCCTCAACATTTCAACAAACTCCTTACACTTTTTTTCTCATGAGGGGCTATAATACTCCAATGTAACTGTACAGCTAAATACAACTTTTTTCTTCTACAAAAGCCAAAAAATGAATTTTTAAAACATTGCTTTTTAAATAAAAGTTTTGTATATAAACATTTTCTTGATTACAGCACATAAAGTGTCACAATGTGAGATCATGGAAATGTGAGGTCACTAAGTAAAGTTGGTTTGCAGTGAGTGTTTGTTCAAATCAGTTCCAACATATTCAGTGTTGTATAAGAGCAATGCTTCCTGTTTGTACATTTGTTTCACTTGCTGTGTTGATGTAATAATTCCTTTAATATGAAGGAGTTATAACTGTACAGACAGAGGGACCGAAAGTTCATTAACTCAAATATGATGGACATGAGGCATCAACTCAAAGTGGTGAGGGGAAGTTAAATCCCTTAAAACAAATCAATGTCAGCTACAACAGTTGTAACTGTCTTTTAGGAGTCTTGAATAATGCATGATCTAAAGAGAGTTTTGGAAATAATCAGCTAAACTCCATATAGGCCCACCTGAATATTTTAACTTTACCTCATCAATTTACTGATGGAACAAGAGAAAACGTGTGCACCCGTTATATAGTCCTAAACATGTGCAAGTGTATTACACTGACACCTCTGCACTTAAATTAGATATTAAGTCATAAATTGATTGCAGGTATTTTGAACTTTCCCTGCACACACACACACACACACACACACACACACACACACACACAC